ACTAAATCACTGTCCTGTCACCAATCACTGACCAGTCACCACAATCACTGACCAGTCACAACAATCACTGACCAGTCACCACAATCACTGACCAGTCACCACAATCACTGACCAGTCACCACAATCACTGACCAGTCACCACAATCACTGACCAGTCACCACAATCACTGACCAGTCACCACAATCACTGACCAGTCACCACAATCACTGACCAGTCACCACAATAACAAGTCACCACAATCACTGATCAGCCACCACAATCACCGACCAGTCACCACAATCACTGAACAATCACCACAATCACCGACCAGTCACCACAATCACTGATAAGTCACCACAATCACTGATCAGCCACCACAATCACCGACCAGTCACCACAATCACTGAACAATCACCACAATCACCGACCAGTCACCACAATCACTGATAAGTCACCACAATCACTGACCAGTAACCACAATCACTGACCAGTCACCACAATCACTGACCAGTCACAATAATTGTTGGCCAGCCAAAACAATCACTGACCAGCCAAAACAATCACTGACCAGTCAAACAATCACTAACCAGTCACCACAATCACTGACCAGTCAACACAATCATTGACCAGCCAAAACAACCAATGACCAGTCACAATAATTGCTGACCAGTCACCACAATAATTAATCATCTACAACAATCATCGACCATTTATCACAATCACTACTGACCATCTACCACAATCACTAACCAGCGACCAAAATCACTGAACATATACCAAATCGCTAAAAAAGCTACTACAATCACTGCCCAGACACAACAATCACTGCCCATCTACCACAATCACTACTCAACAGCTACCACGATCATTACTGCTAACATCATCCCTAGACAGGTAGTAAAAAAATCACTCAACGACACTTCCATTCCACTAAAAAAAAACAAAAAAAAAACCAAAACAACAAAAAACTGCTCAGTTTTAAAAATCCTCGTGTGCACTCATCCGCGACATCCACTCCACCTCCATCACCTGTGTCTACCTTAAGTGCGTGTATGTCTATGTGTGAGTGCATACATACATACGTGTGCTAAACGGCAGACAAGTTCGAGTGCCATCGATCCGAGTCTATTTCTACCTATGATTAGCGTTAAAAATAGTCCCGTCCCCCCACCCCCAGTACGTTGGGATTACGCCACGGTAGATCACCTTAGACTGTCTCCACTCAGCCCCCCCCCCCCGCCGCGAGTTCAGGCATCGATTTCATACATCGATCTCCCATCTGATGGAGATTTGTTTCAATTAATACACCAACACGTCTTGTTTTTTAAACCACAGACAGCCTACGACATTGTTTTGTTCTTTTCAACTCTCAGCTCAGTGGCGTTACCAGTAGGGGTGCATAGGGGCGGGCGCTCCACCTAACAGCATTACAGATAAAGCGGCGCTTTTTTTTTGTTGATTTATTTAACAAATTAAAATAAGTTATGAAATATTCTACGATTTATTTCATTTAATAGCATTATTTTAAGTTTCACTTGAAATAATCAAGCGTTTTGAGTTCCATTTAAACTCACTGAATTGTTTTATAAACTCAACAAAACCTCCGACATCAACGCCCTAGTAACACTACACAAAGAGCTCACATTGCTAACAACTACCAATCAGCTGAGTGCATTGTTGTTCTATCCTTTCTAAAGCCTACACGGCGTTTCTATACCCTTATTTGATATTTACAATATCTTTATACAAAAAAGTTTATAATTTATAGCGTTAGGGCGTCCGCTTTAGGTTTAACTAAAGACACCCACCAAGGATCCGAACACGAGACCTTCAGGTTAGAAGTCCTACTCTTTACCGCCCGAACACTCCTTATTTTACTAGCAGATAGTTCTAGTTAATACTTTATTACTGGCAACCAATCACCCGTTTGAAAGACGATCCCATTACAGTGGCATTATCAAGCAACACTTTTGTTTAGATTCAGCGAACATTCCTTCCTTACGCCATGGACCAACCACGCAACTAACAAACAACAAAAAGAAATGCGAACTCGCTAAACTTTACCGTAAGACTTTCCAATGCATACCGACACAAAAAAAAAACCGTTCTACGGCCCTCGGTGTTGACAATATTTTCAGCGCACTATCAGGACAGCGGATCTCGCGATTGCTGGCGGATGTCTATTGTATGGACGGGGTCATTCGACCGTGAAGGATACATCATTAGCGCGTGGCGTTGGCACGGAAATAACCAGACCGTGACAAGTCTTGAATAAAAATCAGGCTATAATCAAACCCCCAAAATGTTCCTTAGCCCCCAAAGACACATATCTTAAAGGTTGGATTCTTAGCCCCCAAAGACCCCTATCTTAAAGGTTGGATTCTTAGCCCCCAAAGACCCCTATCTTAAAGGTTGGATTCTTAGCCCCCAAAGACCCCTATCTTAAAGGTTGGATTCTTAGCCCCCAAAGACCCCTATCTTAAAGGTTGGATTCTTAACTAACAAAGTGCCTTAAACTTCTTAAACGTTCAATTTTTAGTTCCGAAAAGCAACAATTTTACGTTGTTTAAAGTTTCGAATCTTATTCCATCCATCCGGCCCGATTGTTAGCCCAAATATAAGCTGTAACAGGCTAAAATCTGAGCTCTTATGTTGAACTCTATTCTTAGAACGTATTGTTTATCATTAAAAATCTATTAAAAGTGTGGGCGTAATGCATAAGTTTTGTTTGATTAGACTTCAAACAGGACTTTGGAGGTCTCGTTTTACCTGACTATTTGTTTGTGAACTACAGCTATTTTAGTAAATATTTTCAATACATGGGTTGAGGTTATAGTGCAGAGGTAGCTGAAGTAGAGTGGCTCGCTAATATAGTGTAGTGATATTAATAGCACAGGGTCTATCAGGGTAGTGGCAGCTCTATCAGGGTAGTGGTAACTCTATTGGGCATAGGCAACTCTATCAGGACAGTGGCAATTCTATCAGGGTAGTGGCAACTCTATTAGGGTAGTGGCAACTCTATAGGACAGTGGCAACTCTATCAGGGTAGTGGCAACTCTATAGGACAGTGGCAACTCTATCAGGGTAGTGGCAACTCTATTAGGGTAGAGGCAACTCTATGAGACAGTGGCAACTCTATATGACAGTGGCAACTCTATCAAGGTAGTGGCAACTCTATCAGGGTAGTGGCAACTCTTTAGAACAGTGGCAACTCTATCAGGGTAGTGGCAACTCTATTAGGGTAGTGGCAACTCTATCAGGGTAGTGGCTACTCTATCAAGATAGTGGCAACTGTATTATGGTAGTTGCAACTCTATCAGGGCAGTGGCAACTCTATCAGGGTAGTGGCAACTGTATCAGGAAAGTGGCAACTCTATCAAGACAGTGGCAACTCTATCAGTGAAGACGCAACTATCAGGAAAGTGGCAACTCTATCAAGATAGTGGCAACTCTAAAGGACAGTGGCAACTCTCACGGTATGTTAGTTACCCCCAAATGCACGTCAACAAATACCAGCAGCTGAAAGTAAACACACACACACATACGACACTAACAAAGATAATGTTTTCAGATTATAAATCTAAAACAAATATTCCCCCCACTCTGCCCCCACTTTTACCCATAACACCCTCCCCCCCCCCCCACCCCCACACATCACAAAATCACCAGTTGTTCCAGGAGCCTAACACTCTAATATACTAAACAGATAAAAATAACAAGAAAATAACAAGCTTATAAAAAACCGTTGGAAGATTGCGGCTGTTTTGACAATTAACAAACACTTTGGTGGGGTTGCCAGGCACGCGAAGGTTACTTCAAAGATGGAGGCACGTTTGGTACGTAAAACAGCTCAGCAAAAACACACCTCCCACCCCCCCCCCCCCCCACCCTACCTCCCCCAAAAACAAATAGTGGGTAAAATTTGTTAAATTATGTTTATCTTTTTGTTTTTAACTATAGTTATATTATATATCATAATTTCATGCTCCTTTGTGCTGAGGTGGTATTTTGATAAACTAAATACCGAAAACTACACAAAAATAAATAAATTGAACAATATCTTTTTGGGAAATTCCCCCAACTTAAAAAAACGGAAAACCGAGTTCCGGTTGAATGTTTTGAAGCTGCGTTCAACCATCTGTAACGTTGCAATTAAATACGTCTTGTTTTTTAAAACTACAAATGCAAATTATTTCTGTTATTTTATAAACAGGGCTTTGAAAATACGAGATAGATAGTGAAAGAATAAGTGAAACCAGTATCTATTTATAAATGTTTTCTAAGGACTTGATGTTAAAGATGGAAGGGGAATATGTCAGTAACTTAAGTTAAGAAGTGTACACTGGGTATCTTTCTTACGTTTACATTTTAAGAATATGATGGCCACACGAAAAATGTATGTCTTAGATGGCCTCAGCAAATGTAATTGTTTTGGTCGTCTAAATATGTCTAGCTTGCATGACTTCAGAAAAAAAATAAAAATGCGACTGTCGTCAACAAAATGTCTTGCTCGGTAACCCTCAGAAAACTTAAAATTTGATGGTCAAGTAAAAAAAAAGAAACTAAATATGATTCAAATTAACGTGGGAGGATCTTCTTCTTCGTTCTTAATTTTTAGTGTTGGAAGGGATCGCCTTATCTGCCAGAGGGTTTGAACTCGAGACTTTTTTCGAATTTATCAACCATGATCTTTTGTTGACTCGACCACGCCTCCATCAGAATTAAGGATTACGTGTCAACTGGTTATGCGCCATTGAGGCCATTGACTCCGATTTCAGCCTGCTTTTCTTTTTGGATTTGCTTCCATAGCCTTTGTCCAACCAAGAACAAACTACAAGGCAGCAGTTGTTTGATTTTGGAGTTGTCTCTCCTAGAAGAGCGGCTGTCCCCAGCTAACGAGCCTCATCTGCCCGAGGGATCGAACTCGAGACTTTTCGGTTTAGCAACCATGAGCTTTACCGACTCGACCACGCCGACCCCTATGTGGGAGGATGAAAAATAAAATGTTTTGGTGACTCACCTGAGCTGTGGTACCTGTGGATTCGAACATCTTCCCCGTCCTCGAGGTGGGTGACGTCATTGGCCCTCATGCCACGCAGGAAGTGACGTATTTTAGTCCCCGTCACGTTGGACGCCGTCCAGCCCTGGTCCACGCTGACGTTGGGGCGGGCGCTTAGTCCAAGATGGCGGAGAATTTTACCTTTGAACTCCTCGACCACGGCCCGGTGCTGCTCGTCGCCGAGGTCAAGGTCAGCCGCCACGACGGCCTTGGAGTGAGCTGGACGGGAGCGGCTGGCGAGGAGGAGGAGGAGGGTGAGTGAGTACTGGAGGAAGCGGGGCGAGCAGGGGGAGAGTCCTGGAGAGTGAGATCTTTGCGTCATACTCGGCTCCACAAAAGCCCTCTCTCAATGCTGGTGTGTTAAGTGGTGGGGAATCAGGGAGGTGTCGGTTTGATTCGTGAATATACCGCGGGTATCACTTTTGAGATCTGAGAACCGTGTCTTAGGTCTCACTTTTGAAATCTGAGAACCGTCTTTTAGGTCTCACTTTTGAAATCTGAGAACCGTGCCTTAGGTCTCACTTTTGAAATCTGAGAACCGTGTCTTAGGTCTCACTTTTGAAATCTGAGAACCGTGTCTTAGGTCTCACTTTTAAAATCTGAGAACCGTGTCTGTGCTCTCACTTTTAGAACCTGTCTCACTATCTAGTTCTGAATACGCAATAGTTCCAGCTCATTCGTTTTGCATGAGCAGTTCTAGTTGTGTTTTCTAGTTCTTGGTGGGAGGAGATAGTCTCACTTTGATTCTTTACACGATATGATGTTCCTTAATCGTGTCACCAATATCTTCCGTTTTTTCCTTCACAAAAAGCAAATTATAAAAAAATAAAAATAATTGCAGGTTTTATTTCTTCTGGTTTCACTATTTCAGTGAAACGCTCGTGATGAGTTCACTTTTATATATCGCGTGGGTGGGGGCAGCGATCGCCAGCAGATAGAAGATTGTCCCGAGATTGTTCCAGAGCTATCTCGCAGAGTTCCGCTCCCTTAATTTGAAAATTAAATGTAAATGTGCAGACAGTGGGGAGAGTTGCTGTCCCGAATATTTATAATCTGAAAATAAACAGGGAATAATATTAGCAATTAAACTGAGGCTGGGCGATGCTGGCAATTAGATAAGATACATTGTCCGATACGCCTACTCTAGGGGGGGGGGGGAGGGAGGGAGGGAGGAGGCTGAGACTACGTCATGCTGTAAGGAGTAGAGGGGGGGGTCGTGGTTATTTGAGGATTGGAGAGTGGGGGTGGGGGGATGGAGAATGTGTGGGTAGCGGACAAACTGTGTTGTGGTGAGTTTTGTTGATGTGGGGGGAGGGAGGCGTGGGTGGTGAGAGGAGGGTGGTGGAGAAAGTAGAAAGATGAAGTGTGGTTTTTTTTTATTGAAGAGGGACGAGGATAGTGGTTTTTGGAGAAAGATGGGGGTGGGTGGTTTTTGGAGTAAGATGGGGAGGGGTGGTTTTGGATAAAAATGGAGAGGGGTGGTTTATGGAGAAAGATGGGGGTGGGTGGTTTTGAAGAAAAATGGGGAGGGGGTGGTTTTGGAGAAAGATGGGGGAGGGTGGTTTTTCGATAAGATGGGGGTAGGTGGTTTTTCAGAAAGATGGGGAAGGGTGTGGTTTTTTGGAGAAAGATGGGGAGGGGGTGGTTTTTGATGACGTGCTTGTGGGGAGGGCTGTAAGATGAAAGTTGGGCTGAGATGAAAAGGAGGTGGAAGGTGGATTTTTGAAGGAAGGCGTGAAGTATACTATGGATAAAAAGAAGACAGCTAATTAACAGAACAGAAGAAACAGGAAGTGAGTGAATTACCAAAGATTTAGATATCCAAGGTAAAGGTAAAGTCTAACAGGAATGTGGAAACAACAACCGGACTTCAAAACATAAATAAAATGTTAACGGTTATCTACAGTCCCAACACCATGATACTAGGCTGGTATTTTAGTGCAGTACTTCTTGTTACCGTATAGTAATACTGGTACATCATTTAATATATCAATGTTATCAGACAGGCACAGTGTTTCATATAATAGTTTGTGCTGGCACAGTAGTATAGTACAGGAACAGCGCTTATAACAGTATTATAATAGTTACAACACCTCATATAACAGTATTATAATACAAGTACGGCACCTCATATAACAGTATTATGACATAGGTACATCACCTCATATAACAGGTACAGTACCTCATATAACAGTTATATAACATAGGTACAGCACCTCATATAACAGTTATATAACATAGGTACAGCACCTCATATAACAGTATTATAATACAGGTACGGCACCTCATATAACAGTATTATAACCTAGGTACATCATCTCATATAACAGTATTATAATTCAGCTACACCTGATATAACAGTATTATAATACAGTTACAACACCTCATATAACAGTATTATATTACAGGTACAGCACCTCATATAACAGTAACATTATGACTGACACAACTTATTTAACAGTATCGTATGCTTCGTCAGAGCAAAGTTGCGTAAAATTACATACAAATTAATTGAATGCTTTAATTTTCCTAGCAGGTATATTCATTCAACATTCTTTTCATTTATAGTGTTTTGACAGTTTGAAAAGCAAATTGTGAAGTGTTTTGAACGGTAAAGCGAATGCAAGCAGAAAAACAATAAAACGTATCGAGGATGTTTAAATGTCATAATATGAAACTTTGAAAGGCGTTTTCCGGTGTCCATAGCAACTAGTCAAGAAAAATAAATATCTACACAAAAATAGGAATTCTTGAATAGATTTAGCTTATTTTTTTATAAAAATTAATGTCAAAAACTTTTACTTATTTTAAACTAATTGAAAATTATTAAATTAAAAAAAAAAACGTTAAAAAGTTTAGACAGGCCTAAAAGTTATAGATCGTTTCTAAGTTTTAAAAAATAAAATTAAAAACAAGAAGGAAAAGACTTACGACTTGGCGAATCCAGATAACAATTCTAAACATACTCTAAACAAACACGTTCCAAATACACAACGATTCATCCATTTAAAATATCAGACGGTCGGGTAGACGACCAAGCATTTGCAGCAGACGACCAAACGACCAGCTGACCATGTCCAATGAAAGAACACTTCTAGCACGCGACAGCCAGACGAACCACGACGCTTCGCCAGCCGGCCCGGGTCGCGTGTGTGTGTGTGTGTTGTGTATCGTCTGCTGAAGCCGTCACTCGTTGTCAGCGGGAGGGAACCGACGTCTGACATTATTCCCGCCTTTCTGCTTTCAATTTCAACAGATGAGCGGCGCAATGCGAGGTATAATCGGCAGGAGGGTGTAGGATAAATTTACAAGATAGGGAAGAAATGGGGGGTGTAATGTACACGGGGAGTTGAAATTTGATTCTAAAGAAAAGTGGGGGGTTGGGGGGGGGGGGAGCGGATGGAGGGTTTGATTTATGTGGGCGGTTGTAAAGTTTAAAGACATTGTGATGACATCATCAACAGGTAAACCATTCGTGCTGCTGGAGTTCTCGCCCTTGCGTGATTGTGATTGTCTTTACAGGCGTGTGCACTATACGGAAGGGGAGGGGGGGGGGGGTGGATATAGTCTATATTCCCCCCGGAGAAGAAAAAGCAAGGGAAATTAATCATGATATCACTAAATTACCCGCCCCTGACTAAAAAACCATTACCGAATCGTACGGTTGGAATTACGTGAGTGCATATTGCAGCCGTTGGATTCGGTTGAGTTCAATTAAATTAGGATAAGGTTTTGCCCTCAACCACCTTAGGGACGGCGAGGTTAGGTGGTAGAGCGTTCGACTGCTAACGAAAAGTCTAGAGTTCGGATCTGGCGCTGAGTCAGTAGTACGTCCCGGAGTCCACCCAGCTCTGATGGGTACCTGACTCACGTTAGGGAAGGAAAAGGCGCGGCTGAGGTCACTGAAACAGATGAACTCTACTTTACCTGACACCTGAGAGTACGATTCGAAAGAGTATTTTACTTTTTTTTTTACCTCATCTATTTAAAATTGAACTAAACCAAGATGAAAACTACGTGGGTACGCCAGATTATGGATTAAGACTTCTAAGATTAATTAACTAATTGAAAATATAAAGAAGCATTTGTAAGTATGTAAGGACAAGGCTAATGTTTGCTGTGATTAGAGTTTCTAGTTTCTTTAAGGCATCTCTTCGTGCGGGGGGTGGGGGGTGTTCTTCCATTCCCCCACCCCCACCCCACATTGTAAGGGTGGGCGAGCACTGGGAAAAATATGTATTTCCTATATACGTTCTATTTCGTTCGGGGGGGGGGGGGGGCGGTATATATATATATATATATATATATATATATATATATATATATATACATATCCCTTTTTTGACTCACCGATCTTTCTAACCCTAAAACCTGCGTGCGCATCTGCTACTGACTTTGAGCAAGATTAATACATTACGTATTTTTTGAATAAATGTTTAAAACATTGGCAATTAGACCTATACAGAGAATTCGCAGAGTACTTTTATCCTTCAACGCTACTTTTCTATTTACTTATACCAACACGACATTTGAACCCTTTAGTAACACAACCTTTGATTGGTCATACAGTTGGGTCATGAATTTGGTTCTATAATCTCCACTTCTCTTAACTACTTCCGGTAAATGTTTAAAAAAATATATTTTATACTTTTGAACATCTGCTTGACCTAGTTAAGCCATCTTTGTTTACATTTTCCGTTTGATCGTGTGAAAAATCCAAAATGTTTTGAGTTATTTTTTTTCTTCGCCTTTTTTTTCTTCGCAACTTACACATTAACTTTTAGATTACAACTTACACATTGCACGCTCAATGTGTAGAAGAGTAAACAAGGATGAGCATGAAACTGTCCACACCATTTCTTCATATGCCGAGCTCACAGAAGCAGGTGGACTCTACTTCACCTACACTATTGATCACCAAGTCAGATAAGGGTAATTGCTATAACCAGAGTATCCAGACTTGTACAAGGCATAACGTTAGCTTCATAAGAATTTTTTTTAACATAAAGTTCCTTAGCGGAAATGATTCCGCAGGATTCTCTCTCGGCACCTCAACTTTTTTTTAGCAATTAATTAATTTTTAAGCTGATTGCAAAGTTAATTATTTATAAAATAAAACAATTCTTGACAACAATATATATATATATATATATATATATATATATATATATATATATATATATATATATATATATATATATATATATATATATATATATATATATATATATATATATATATATATATATATATATATATATATATATATATATATATATATATATATATATATATATATACATATATATATATATTTATATATATATATATATATATATATATATATATATATATATATATATATATATATATATATATATATATATATATATATATATATATATATATATATATATAAATGTTCGCGTGAATGCCATTACTACAGGGTGGCCCCATAAAGTATTTCCTAAGACTGCCGTACAAACTAGTGTTCAGGTTCTAGATTGCAGGGAGCGATATGGAGCGACATTAGCCGAGCT